CTTGCTCCTGTAGCACCTCATTAGATGTGGGAGCAGCCTTTTTGTCTAGTGCTTTTTGCTGCTCCTTCAGATTGCAGAAGCATAAGCACTAACAGGACTGACTCCTTGTTTCTTGCTCTACATACAGTTCTGGATTAGTCTCTTCTTTTTTCCAGGACCATTTGTATATTGCAAAGTAAAAAGATGAATTTAGATGTGGCTGTTACTATTGCATTGAGTTTTGGGGAGAGGGTTGGAAGTGATACTCAGATGAAATGTGAAAGAAACTGTCAAGTGCAGGAGGTCCATCTGTAGAAGAAAAAGGGAGTGGGAAAGAAGGAGGATGTCTCATACTGTTCAACAGTGTGAAAGCCATCTTTAATCCATTATTTTTCCTGACTCTTTTTTTGGTTGCATAAAGTAAGGGTTGATAGATTTAAAGAGGAAGAGAATCAAATCAGGGAGAGCTTTGAGGAATTCGTGGTGAGAATAGGAAAGACGCGCCTACAACTCCTAGACTTGCTGTTGGTGTTCTAGGAGATAGGAGTGTTCCAGTTGCTTTATGGAGTTGTGGTCAAATGAAAACACTCCTTGTGAGAGCTCTGTTCTTCTGTATACTCTTTTACATGTTCTTAGCGCCCGTTTCTCTCTGTCATAAGGGCAAGTGAGTTCTCCATGCTGTTAATAGAATGCTAAAAACTAATTTCTCTGGAGTTGGTTCTGGGATCTGAAAGAGCTTTTTTCCAGACTTAGATGGCTTTCCTGTCTTGTGTGTGTGTGTGTGGCAGGGTCTGTTGGGTATGTGCATATCTGTGCTGTCTGGCAAATGGGCCTGTGAAGGGAGCAAGCTACAAGATGTTTCACTGTGACAGGTACTCCGAGTGCAAAGGAAGAACGTTGCGTTTCGATAAGATGTTTGATCTGCATAAAGTACAGCAGAGAGCTGCTGCTTGCAGGTGTTCAGCAGTGCCGTGAGAGGCTTCTTGTAATTCGCACTGGGAATGTGAGAACCAGTTACAGATGGAAAGAGGTGATGGGTTAGAATAAAAAATAACAATAAAAACTTTGAAGCAGCTCTTGGAGTGCCCCTACAGAACTGGGGACTCAAACTGGAGAGTCTTGTAATGGCTTCTGGTGCCCTGTGAGATCTGGCCAGGTATTACCACTTGTTATTGCTTGCTCAACTAGGGCTTTAGTAGCCGAGTGAGATGTCCCACAGGGCATGGGTGGAAACTTAGTCTTGCGCTAGTATATCTCTGAATAGAGCCTCCAGGCACTTGGCTGACAAATGCTTTTTTTGTCTTCAGAATACATGTGACCTGTAGAGTTGGTTACATATTTATGCTGCAGTGTATCCACAGTCTCTCTTCAGTTCATTCCTGGGTGCCAGCAGACCTGGTCTTACTTGGTCTTAACTCAAGTATTAAGTCATGTGGCCAGGTATGTAAGTATGGGTGCTGCTGCAAAGATCCATGCCCGGGAGAAGCTGCTGGGATGTTGGAGAGAGGTCAGTGTCTGCTGAAGAAGGGTGGAAATGGACTGTAGAGCACTTGCAGAAATAACAGAATTTGCAGCTTCTTTGCCTCAGATTTGGCTATGATCTTCTATTGGGTCAGAAGCACCTTGTTTTCCTTGGCCAGTCCGCTTCTCAATTAGAAGTGCTAATGTTTCTTAGTTAAGTTGACTTGCAAAGATAGTTGGAGGCAGGGCCAGGCTCTCCATCTTGTCCGTGTTTTGCTCTGATTCTGATCCAGTTGTCTATATCAATGTGAAGTGCTTGCTGTTTCATCAACTCATTGACTTCTGTCTTGTTTTACTTCCCGCTTACGGGCTGCTCTGTTACCAACAGTCTTTCATAGGATTTTTGCTAATGGTGAGCAAACTTCTCCACTCCTGTGGTGTGACTGTACTGCTATATGTGTATGTATATACATGTGTGTATATATATGTATATATATAATGGGTATATATGTAATGTATGTTTTTAATATACACACACATGTGCGTGTGCACACACACACACACTATAATTTATACAGTGTTCCTTTGCTATAAGGCTGGTGTAAAACTTTTCAGCTTAGGCCCATCCTGCTTGTGAGACCTCTGTTCTGTGCTGGGATGCAAACTTTTGTGCTCAGCCATAGCCTTACAGGGAGGGAGCACTGCCCTTTGTGAAGTCTGAGCGTTAGTTTTCTTCCTCTCCTTGTTCTTAGTGTGCTAGTCCATGGACCCTAGTGCATGCCAGCTTCTGCATGTCAAGCCATTGGATGCATTGTTCTGAGCTGTTCCCAACTGAACTTTCCATGTACATTTAGACTCTTTCCTGCTACTATTCTGCTAGACTTGGCTGAGCACCAGATCTGGGCTAGTCTTTGCTTTGTGCTTGGATATCCAGTATCCAATTGCTTGCTTGTAGTTTTAACTCCTTAGACATTTTGTTTTTAAGATGAATGCTTCAGTGAAATCTGTCCTGCTCCTGATGGCCAGAAAGATCTCCCACCCAAATGAGTCTCTGGTTGTGAAGTGAGGCTTGCTATTTATTTTTCTCCATCCAAAGCTCTGTTTTGGGGGAAACTTGAGCATTCATGTATTT